TTAAGGCCTCAGGCTCGTTAAGGCCTCAGGCTCGTTGGGGCCTCGGGCTCGTTGGGGCCTCAGGCGCTCGTTAGGGACTTGGGCTCGTTAAGCTCCTGGTTTCCTGGATGATGCTCTGCTTCTATTATGGTTTCTACTCAGCTCGACGGTCATTTCACTGTAATTTGCTCCCTTTTTGCACAGCGAGGAAAGCAACAGTCATCTGTGATGTGAAGGGGCGGGGCCCCTTTGTGTGAGTGTATGCATGTTTCCTCAGAGGGACCGCCCCCAACCCCCCACGCCCCGCTCTGCTGTGAAGCAAAGGGGAGGCGTGGCATGGCAGTTTTCTGTCATGCGGCTGATAATCACCACGTCCACTGGGAGGTTTGTGATGGCAGCTCAGACCTCACAGCCTCCACCCAAACATCCACACGTTCACGCTCATGTGCAGCGACAGAAGCGCCCGAGCTTTGGGAAAAGTTTCACACGGAAGTGACTGAATTTGATGAGGTTTTGTTTTTGGAAAGCTGTGATTCAAGATCAGCGAGAGGAAAACTGGAGAAAAATATGCAAAAAAAAAAAAAGACGAGAAGAAGAGCAGGTGGGCACGACCTTTGACCCACCTTTCGCCTCAAAGCATTTAAAAAGGACGATCAACACCGATGTTCAATCAATCTTTATTCGTCCTCGTAAACAGAGTTTGGGCCCCGGCGTCCCGTCCTGCTCTTCCTCCATCTGATCCTCACTGTGCTCTCAGATGCTGCCTCTGCTTCCTGGCTTTCAGAGTCAGAGCGACCCAGCACCTCTGGGTCACCTGGACCGGTCCAGGTGTGCTGTGATGGGCCGAACCGCTCTCTGCTGTGGCGGCAGCGTCAGCAGACCCGGGACCTGGAGGTGTGGCGATCCCTCGGACCGCGGCGGGGTTTCACCTGCACTGCTGCCGTTCCAAAAGCCTCGAAGCTCCCAAATGTTTGTGAGAAAAAAACGAGATCCTCCCGTTAGACAAACAGCTGTTTGTTTACTTTGAATGGCAGCGTGTGATTGGTTGAATCGGCTGAAAGGCTTCCTGCTGTCGGGGAGGATGTCCTGAAGTCTCCAAACGCGTGAAGCAGTCTTTCTCTGTGATCAGAATCGCCTGTACGGACTCTGAGGACTCCATAAAGTTCAGATGAAACGCAGGAACAGTTCGATGCACTTCTGCTTTATGTTCCCGACTTCCTTTAACTTCCTGCTCACGCCAGGGTCGAATGTTCGAAGCCGTTCTGTTCAGCCTCCTCGATACCTTCTGCTCCTTTGAAACGACCTCTGGCGACCTTGTTATTATTCGTCTTTTGTTGGATTTGAAGGAATAAGTTCATAAAACCTTTGAGATGGTCTGATGAAATCATCGCATCACTTCCTGTTTCTCAGAGAGGATGTTTCTGAATCACACACAACAAAAAGCAAATGACAATCTGCAGAAAGGTGGAATTTGCTCTCTGTTTGGTTTCCATTCCTGCTGTCGGCACAGCCGGACAGATCGGGAGAATGATCCGAGTGTTTTAGCCATACGCCGCCGCCGCCGCCGCCTCCTCCGCTCGTTGTTAACGTCTCCACGGTCGAGTACATAGCAGATGCGTTTCTATCCAGTTTCTATTTTTTAGTATGACGTGATTCTTCTTCTGATTTCTATATTTTGTAGTGTGATTAAAGTGGTCTTTTTATATTCCAGCAGTTTCTACCACACATTCCAAACGTGCACGTCAGCAGACGGGCCCCGGCCGGCGCCGCCGCGGACGCTGAGCTCATCTTAGCTGTCCTCCACAGCTGCTCTGTTTTTAAAGGTCGTGTTGAGACAGAGGTGGTCAGTGTGTCACAAAGGTCACGGCGTCTCGTCGGCGTCTCGTCGGCGTCTCGTCGGCGTCTCGTCGACCTCTCGGGCCTCGGAGACTCTGGAGGTGGAGTCGATCAGTTTACGTCACATTTAGCGCCTTCTGTCTTCATGTCCAACTGTTTTAACTCCTTAAAAGGAAACAACCATCAGTCGCTGTGATGACGGTGAGTCGGCATGGAGACCTGTGTCCACAGGTAACAGAAGCCTCCTGTCAGCCCCTCTGAAAGATGTTGAGGGGTCATCTTAAGGTTCAGGGTTAGGGTCTTCCTGCTGCTGTCACCTTTTGATCACTCAAAGCAGGTGCCAACCGCTCTTTGCACGGAGGAAGACGTGGCGAGGAGGAGGAGAGCTCGACCCACAGGCTGAGCGGTTTCCTGTGAACCGTCTGCCTCAGACGATCGGTCCTCAGGGACGAATTTAAAGGGGCGTGACCTCACGATGGGATCGTGCTCCTGGTCGTTCCTCACCCTCAGAAGCGAGGGTCAGCAGTCGGTGTAGAAGCAGGAACCACGACTCCAGCTGGTTCCTCTCGGTTTGTTTCCTTTTGGCTCAAAGACTCGAGTTTGATGAAGCGTGGAAACGCGCGCTTCATTCATTAAATCTGGCTGTCGTGGCGGCAACAACAGATGCAGACATGAACACATCACATGGTCACATGTTGCTGTGGAGGACGGCGTCAGATGGGGGCGTCTGCAGTCGCGATGCCAGTCAGGTCCCATCGAATCAGAATCTAAGCTCAAAACACGTCTTTAAGAAAAAAAGAAAGAAGGCAGACGGCGTTACGGAGCGTTTTTATTTTTCTATCTGTACGGCTTCTGTCAGAATATAAAGACGGCGTCCGGGCCGCTCGGTTTCCTGGTTTTCAGTTTGTGCTTTTCTCTTTCCTTCCCGTCTTTGGCTGACTTCTTTGTGCTGGACTCGTGACTGTCTCGACGTCTCTGCCGGGCCTTCGTACCTTCAGTAATACCAATGTGAAACCTGTAACTCTCCTCATGGTTCGACTCAGTGGAAGTGTGATGTTTACATGTACAGATTTTTGCTATTTTTCTTTTCTGGTTCTTTCTGTTTTCATCTTCATGCCTCTCTTTTCCACTCCTGAGTTCCTCTCACTCCTTCCTCACACAGGGAAATTTGACTGAGACTAAATATGATTATCCACCTTTCACACTCTGCCCTTTCCCACTGTGGAGGCCTGAGAGTGCCAAAGGTACTAATGGCCTTAGCACCTTTAAATGCATCAAACTAAGAAATCTGAACTGTAGTTCTCCTCTTTATTTCCTGTTTCATGTTCTAAATAAGGAAATAAAGTGCAAAATGAATGCATGAATAAATGAATGTAATTGGCACGCAGGTACCCGTGCAGCAGCCATGTTTGGACCTGACCTAAGGCTCATTTACAGCTCAGGTAAATGTTTTGCAGGCCGTTAGTTTTACTTTAAATCTGTTTTCAGTTCATCAGTGTTAGTTTTATGGGATTATGACAAATGAGAACATTATTTATATATTTTTATTTTCATTATTTTTAGTAGTGCAGTTTGGTCTAGTTTTTAGAAGACGGCGATTTCCTGCAGGAGAGGTGGTGAGCCTGGCCCAGATGTGGTCCAGATGTTGCCACAGTCACTGAAGCCGGGTCAAAGCCAGACGGGGTAAATCTGTACAGAGGTGAACATGGACAGAAATGTTTGGGTTGATGCATTTAATTTTCTGTTAGTGTTGGAGCTGTTCAGTCACTTTGGCAGTTTCAGTCCTCCGTAGGTTCTGGGGGATCGGGTACTTCCTGTTAGCATCATTAGCGCTGAGTTAAATCTGCCACGCTAACGTGCTCGGTGAAGAAAGTCGAGGCGTTCCCGGGCGGCCTTCTGGGTGTGGGAGGGGGGAGTTGTGCGATTGTTCGGCTCTGGGGGGGTGGGTTGCAGTTGACCCCCGACCTCTCGGCTGACTCCACGGCACACAGGATCCCAGCGGGGCCACGGCGACCCTCCGCGATCCGTGGGACACGATTCCTCAGTGAATGAAAAGCCATTTCGGGCCCCGGGCGTCGGGTCTGTAGTCTGTGAGTGTATTTAGCGAAACTTAAACTGCGGACGGCGAAACTCAACCTCAGGAACAGAAAAAAGGACATGACTTTTATAAAAGCAGCTGAAGGCCCATTTCCCGCTCTTTGATACCATATAAATTATATCAAATCAATTCTTTTTATATTTATTGTGTTTATTATTCTTCTATATAACAGTGGATACCTTTTGCAGTACCTGTGGCTGAATATTTTGATTCTTTAGAAAAGTGTTGATAATATATGTGAAGCAACTTAAAGGACGGAGGAAAAAAAAGAAGAAATCTGGGTTCTTATTCTTTGTGTTTGTTGATGACTACATATCACTCTGGTCCATGACGAAGAAACCAATGATTATACAGACTGAGCTTTCTTTGTGTGATGTCACTGCTAAGGCTGAAATGTTTCTGGACTTTGTGACCGTTCAGTTTGTTTTTGGTTTGTTTCCTCCCGAGCTGTACATCACAAAGCTAAATATACTAATAAAACTGTGTGCTATCTATCAGACGTCAGCTTTCACGCTCCCTTATTTCCTCCCACCACGAAGACTCCTCACTGCACCGCATTTACAGATCGCATCCAGAGCCGTTTGCAGGTTCGTCTGGGGCCTCTGACAGAAATCCGCTCAGTCGGATGCAGCACACCGGAGCGTGGGCTGAATGATCTGCAGCAGCGAGTGTTCGGATTAAAGTTACTTCCTGTTTGGTTTGGGAAGTCGTTGTAATTTGATCACATGACTTCATAGCACATTACACATCATAACACAGACTGTATATAAAAGATGTTTGGTTAGCACAGACTGTGTGGAAGCATCACACATGCACAGAATAACATCCAATCACAATCCTGGAATTAGCACCAAACCTGGAGCTCCGCCTTCTTGGTCTGTTAGTACAGTGTTAGCCATGTTATCGGTCACATGATGTCATTAAACATGAAGTTTTTACTGTCTGTGTTCCTCAGTAATTCATTGTATGAATACGTGTATGTTTGATTTGCACTTCCATGTTTATTTGTACTGGAAGGCTTCAACAGACTCACTGCTGCCTCTGCTGGACGTCAGAGGAACTGCAGGAATATAAATAAAATGGAGTTGTTAGAATTATGGCCACACTCACATCATTTCATTAAATATTTATTCTTTAAATGCTCAAATGTTTCTGACGTCTGTGTGGTGGCCCTTCGGGGAACTGCGATCCTCATGTTGGACACCAGTGTGCTGCAGCCTGAGTTCATGAGTCACCCTGTGGGTGTGTTTGTAACGGCGGACTGACACCTGAACACCGGAGCGTGTTGCGGGCTGTCAGGTGAGTTTCAGATGCATCTGCTTCTGTTCCTGTGACGTCACAAAAGCTAAAACTTCCAAAGCAGGTGGGACACGTGGTCATCCCGGGTGTCCCGGGACAGGATGGAGACCCAGCACACACACACACCTCCCTCCTCTCTCACGCACACACCTGCGGGGCTCCTCCCCCTCGGTTTGCAGGTGTATGAGCAGCAGGAGGTGCGCAGAGCTCCGAACCCGATCCTCCGCGCTGTGCTGCGGTGCTCGACCCGCATAGCCTCGGTTTCCGTTTGCGCACTCCCGCAGCCGCCGAACAAACCGGTTCCTCCGGTCCGCCCGCCGGCGGGGCGGGATGTTTCCGGAGAGAGGCAGGCGCGAGCGGCAGGCGCGTGCGTGCTTGAGGACGCATTTCGGTGAGAGCGACGGGCCGCGGCGGGCACAGACCTGCGCGTGCCGGGATGGAGAGCTGCTGCCGCGCGTGTTTGCCGTGTTGCTCGTGCCTCTGGGACCGGATATGGCCCGGCCTCCGGTACCCCGGGCCCCGCGACCGCGACCACGTCATCGCCAACCCGGCGGCGCACGCGGCCGAGATCCGCACCGTGTCCGGCGACATCCGCGTCCCCGCGCCCAAGAAGCGGCCCGCGCAGCTGTACGCGGCGCTCTTCGACTTCGAGGCCCGCAGCGACGACGAGCTGACGGTTAAGGAGGGCGACAAGCTGTCGGTGATCGAGAAGCGCGGACGCTACGTGCTGGCCAAGAAGCTCACCGGGAGCCTGGAGTCCGGCCTCGTCCCCGCCAACTACGTGGCTCTGCTGCAGGACGAGTTCGCCAAACACAAGTGAGTGCCGCGCACACACACGCAGGGGCGACCCCGCAGCTCGGAGTGATGGCGTCGACTGCTGAATGAAGTTAGGACGTCAGTGTGAACTTGAGCACGTTGACGGTCGTTTAGATGAAACTTTGAGTTTTCAGATGAGTTTCACTCAGAGCTTTGGCTGCGTGTTTGTTGATGTGGAGCAGCAGATATTTAATCTGGAGTCTGTGTGCTGCAGAGAGAAACAGACTCTTCAAGATAACAGCTGACAGTGAGACCAAAACTCCCGATGCTGATCCCAGCTCTGATCCCAGCTCTGATCCCAGCTCTGATCCCAGCTCTGATCCCAGCTCTGATCCCAGCTCTGATCCCAGGTGTGATGGGACACCATGAGGCTTGTTTTGGGCTTCCTCCAAAACAGAAAATGACACTTCAGGCTCTTAAAGACTAAAATTGATACTAAACAAGAAACTCTTTGTAAATTAGATCTGAGAGTTTGAGGTTTTTCTGGTTTGGTTCAGGCTCTGAGTCTGAGGTAAAGTTAGGGCGGGGCCACAGTGACAGGTGACTTTGAAAATACTAGTCACATAATAAGATCCACCTAAAATGAGCCCACACCAACTACAGCCGTGTATTTTCCGTGTGTGCTCTGAAACACAGCCTGCTGTCAGAAATGCTGCAGAGGTGCTGAGTAGCCAAAAACACAAACCCTAAACAGGACAGAGTGATGCCGTTTCATATCCAAAGGGTCAAAGGTGAAGTGAAAATGGGCGCTTTTTAAAGAATAAAAGAAACCTGATTTTTAGAGTGTTGCTGTCAGAGCAGAGTGGATCTGTTATTGGTAGAACTGTGTCATGTGACTGCTTTCACACAGTTTAAGGTGTTTTTAGATTTACTGGAGAAAGTGACGTAAGTGTGGCGTGGAGCTGTGGGTGGGGCTTCAGCACAGTGAGCAGTCAGCAGAAGAAAGAAGTTTTCAGCGTCTTCTTCCTGTCATGTGACGGCATTTGTCTCCGCCCATCAGAGACACAACATGAACTCTTACTGAGAGCAGCTCAACCCTCATCCTCCTTCGTGCCCGTGGGTGCTCTGTGGTCAGACGTCAGCTGACCCTCCGCTCCTGCCGTTTTCGACCCCATTTCTCCCGATTACATCCCTGAAAGCTAAAAAGTTTCGAGACTTTGTGTGCAGAGGCATGAAAAGCACTGTCCTGGCGTTCAGACAAAGTCAGGTGTGAATGTCTGAAGGTATCCGGCCCACGGCTGCAGGTGCTCCATTATTCATACACCTGCAGCTGAGCTCTGTGTGCTCCACCTTCGGTGTGAACGCTGCCGACCCGACAGTGACTGCGTTTGTCTGACAGCAGAACAAGAGGACGAGTCGGGCTGCTGAAGTTTGGACTCATCCAAAGTCTGCAGAGCATCACAGCCCAGCTCGCACATCTGGACCCTTTAACAACCCAGGAACGTTCATCGTGATCTCAGAATCGTCAGAGGGAAAATGAAGCCACGTTTTCAGACTATACCAAAAGACTAAAGTGTCCTCTGCAGAGTCATCAAAGCTAAATGAAGCAATCCAGACGCGCGGTTCAGATTTCCAGCTTTAATGAAGCATTAACAAACATTTCATTTATTCATTTCAGCCTTTATATCCCCTCATTCGTCCAGTTTCACGCTCAAACCTGATTGGACGTAAGGGTGAGTAAGCCGCACACAGGCAGGCGTGGGTTTCCTCCTCTGTGAGGCTTTCTCAGCTCTGCAGTGCAGCTGCTTTCAGGTGCTGCTGGTTTTGTGGGTCTTTATGCCCTCAGTTTTGTCTTTAGGGAGTTGTGAGCATGCTCAGTTAGGCTGGGGCTCTTTCTTTGGACGCGGTGCAGCCGAGTGTTTCAGTATCTCTGACTTATTTTGCTTTTATGAGAATGAAAAGTGCCTGTGCAGAACTTCAGCTTTGTGATCTGAGCTGGAATCATGTTCAGCTGCATCAAAGTCAAATCCATTTTCATAACCATCATGATTCAGAGCTCTGGATCGCATCCTTTCCTGCTCCGTTCACCCAGTTTCACCCCTTTCTTGTCCAGTCTGCCCACCTGTCTGTGCCCGAGTGTTTTCAGATGCTTTTGTGTTTTTTCAGTCAGCTTCCTTTTTCCTGCCTTTCACGACCTTCTTTTCTACTTTGAGCGTCATATCAAGATTTCCAAGCACAGCTATCAAATGCAAATTCCTTTATCTCCTTAACTTGCTGGGAAATGACGTGGAAGCAGGCCACGCCTCCTTAGAAACGCTTATCAGTTACTTTGAGCCTGTGAACAGGAAGGCAGTTTGACTTTTAACACCCACAAAAATTCACCTGAGAATATCTGACCTCATCATTCCAAAGCATGTGATAAGAATCTGGCATTGTTATCTAAACCCATCCTCCTCTGGATGAGAGGGCGGAGCCTGAAATTACCAGCTAATGCTATGTAGCTCAGTTAGCATGGACAGAAACCTGCTCGTCGGCGCTCCGGAAACTGGAGCCTTATTTGTACAGTGACCTCACAGCAGCCATGTTATTGGTCACATAATCAAAAAAGCTCCAACAGCACAAACACGTCCCGCTCACCCCAGCAGCTACAGCCACCTGTGTTTCTATCCACCTGTCAGAGGCCACGCCCCCTAATAATGCAAACTTAATATAATTTAAACGTAGGGGACTTTTAAAAACGTGCTCCTCCGTACAGGTGTCACGTGGGGGACCAATCAGTGTGTATCAGGCTGTAAACATGCTTATTTCTGCTGGACTCACTGCTGCCTCTGCTGGACGGCACAGGAACTGCAGGTTTTATTTTTCAGCTGTTTGGAAAAAGGTGCAGGTGAATCTTTTTACAAAACGTGCACATGAACCATGTAAACCTGAAACCAGGAAATGTTTGGTGTTCCTACTTTTTAATTATTTCTAGCAGAAACTAATGATGGGTGAGTAATGAGCTGTGATGTGTTTCTCCCACAGCATCATTAAACTCTGCTTTACAAACCTGTTGCTGCTCGAGTTTGAGCTGGTTTCAGTGAAACCCGAGCATCGTGCCGCGCGGACCCGCCCTCTCTGATAACTTAAAGTAAATACAGGCGGGTTTGTCTGGGCAAACGGGCGGGACCGCACGGCTCCGTCTGTCAGACTGACCGGGCGTCACGTGTGTGCTTTTGTTCCTGTATGGCTTCATGTGTGACGCATTCTTCATGTCTGTCTCTTCCTTTCCCTCTCTCTCTCCATCCACTCCCTGCCTCCCATCATCCCGCCCACTCCGTCTCTGTGCAGGTGGTACTACGGGAACATAAACCGTGGGAAAGCGGAGACGCTGCTGCTCGCCTCCCAAAACAAAGATGGCGCCTTCCTGGTTCGCATCAGTGAGAGTCACAGTGACGAGTACACTATCTCTGGTGAGTGAGCACTTCGTGGTGACCTCTGACCTCTTAAAGACAAACTGCCTGATGTATAAAAAGTTACAGTTGGAGGAGAAGACGCCACGAGTACACAGCAGTCCGCCTTCAAAGGAAACTCGTGGGCGTCGACATGATTCTGGCCTGAGGTCTCTGTTTAAAGTACTTTCTAACACTCGAGGATTAAAAATGTAAAAGGCTGGTTGGAACAGAGGCGATTTAAGCAGCTGCTGCGGGACTTTAATAACGTTTAATTTATTCACATTTATCAGTGCAGACCTGCCTCGCCCACATTTATAACTGTGTAATAAGCTATCTGTAAGTTTCAGTGTTGAGCTGTTTTAGCCATCAGACCAGGTGGAAGCTGCTGCATGTCTCCTCCTCCTCTCCTGTCGTGTTCCCCATCCATCACCTCCTCCTGCCCT